GTTGTGAAAGTAACTTCGGTTCTCGTAAGCTGTATATTTGGAAAAACCGAAATTACTTTTACGGCAACACAGTTTCGAATTATTTACGACTGTTTTGAATTGTTGGGATTGTGGATATAAGTGTTCGCAATGTTTCCAATAGTCGTGGAGGACGATCCAGAAGCGGTGGTCTTTCTGAGAATATTTTATCGACTGGAGAGTTGAGACGTTTGGGAGCAGAGGGTGCTGTGGATGATTGGACGAGCGATGTGTGACGAATTTGTGAAGGAAACGAGGAGAAGAAATCTAGAACAGTGGAGAGAAACGATTATGAGAATATTGATAGGTTACGACGTTCAGCTTATTGCAATTATTAAAGGAAGAAAGAATTTTGTATTTGATGCAGCGATTTACAAGTTTTGCAATATTTTATATTGTATATATTATTATATCCTATATAATATTATATATAATATATTATAATATTATATATTATGTTTTGCAATATTCTACTATATCGATTAATGAATTAATAGTAGAATATTACAAAACCTAATATATAATATTATAATATAATATAATAATATAATATATTATATATATAATATTATATATTATGTTTTGCAATATTCTACCATATCGATTAATGAATTAAAATGCTTGAAAGTAGAGCAGGCGTTCGACCAACGTTCGGTGCTTTAAAAATGTGGAAGTAGACGTCCGGAAGGGATCTACAGGTTGATCCAGAAACGATGGATCCCCGCAAGCTTTTGGTCTACGAGAGTGCAAGTACAGAAGCGGCACGGTGCCGTAGATGGTTCGCGACGCGGAGACAGTAAAAAAAAAAGGAAGAGAAAAAGAAGCCGAAAATCGGCCACTTGAAAGTTTCACTGGAAATTCGCCGATGAATTCGGTAAGTTACGACCGTGAACTTTAGTACAGTTCGCAGTGGCGCGCGACTCGACAACGGGAAACCATAAAATTCAGCGGGGGCCACGGGGCATTTCCCAGAATCTAAGATTCCAGATTGCAAGGATCCGGCGCGGCATTAAGGATCCCGAACTTTCGGACTTTACAGCGCAATTTTCTGTAACTCCCATAATTCCGAGCATATTAAGGACACCGCCGTACTTCCGGACAGGAAGAGAAGACGGCGCGCGTCGTTCCATCGCGAGCATAGTTCGCCGGCTTAACCGGAAGTAAACGACGGCTTTTCTTTCCCCCCGATTCTTTTTACCTCGGCTAATCCGGTCCCCGTTCGAACCGGGCCACCACCCAGCCGAGCCAGTCTGTACTTCTAATTAATTCTGGTTCCTTGAAACGTCGCTTAAAGGTGGCCGCGCTCTCCGCGCTCTTTGCTCTCTCCGCTCTCTCTCCGCCTCGACCGAATATAACATTAATCTCCGTTTCGAGCGGCGGTGAACCGCTAACGCAACTTTTCCGCGAACTATTAACTCTCGAAATCTCAATTTGAACTTTCGAGCATCGTTACGCGGTCGGCGATAGTCATTTCGCGAGATAATATTGTTCCGATGTTCGTTTCTTGCTCGCGGAAGGAAAGAGAGAGAAAGAGAGAGCGTCGTTCGCTAAGCGACGTCGACCGAGAGAGAGAGAGAGAGAGAGAGAGAGAGAGAGAGAGCTAATGGGATCCAGGGCCGTATCATTGTTTTCGGTTTCGAAGAGGTGACGAGTTCTGAGAGCATCGTGTCCCGAGTTCCGAGGGTTTCGAAGGAGCTCTGGCAACTACGGGAACTTTGGGTCTTCGAGGACTCCGAGAATTTGGAGATCTCGAAATTGGGGCTCCAAGAATCTCCAGCTTCGAAAATTGGGTGCTTGGAAAATTTGTGGCTTTGAATGTCAGGGATTCGAGGGTTTTGGACTACGGTGTGCAAACGTCGGGACGCGAAGAGATCGCGAGGACCGTGCAGATATTTTCTGTTTCGACGAGGAACCCGTGTCGCGAGGCTTCCGGCGTACAGGTGGCGATGAAATCTTACGCCGAGCGGAATTTACAGAATTTCGTCGGATGAAATACGATAACGAGACCGTTTCGGGGTTCGGGGACGCGCGGGGCGAGGGGTGGAAACCGCGAACGGTTAAATGGAAAGCGATTCAACCTCCTTCTCTCTCTCTCTCTCTCTCTCTCTCTCTCTCTCTCTCTCTCTCTGCAAGCCGCGTCGCGTCGGCTCAGATTTATTTTGCAATTTAGCCTGACAGTATGCTGTTCATCTCGCGAATCCGTGATTCCAACTTAAATAATTCATAGCCCCTAATACGAATAGCAATGGCGTCGTTTAAAACCGGGCAACGCTGAAATATTCACCGCCGAACCTCGGCCGAACGAGCGAGTGCGCATGACGATTGAATATCAACAATTTATAAATTTTGACACGGCTTTAATGCGGCCCCTCGTTCCCCCGTCAATAACGTAATTAATACCATCAACAACAAGTCGGTAACGATGTTTCGCTGGCCGCGCCCCGAGCGCAATTTCTGCTCGATTTCGCGAGTCGCGGAGAATCGATGGAAAAATCTCCAGGACTCCAACGAGAAAAATTCTATTCGATCCGCGTGTTATTCGTGGATTTCTTGAAGCGAACACTTCCGTGTTTAATTCGAGCTGGGTTATTTTAAAAATGTTCCACGGGAATGTAATTTATAATCGACTTGAACTTTCTTTTTAAACTCGTGGTATTTCTCTTCGTAAGGGGTGCGTTTTTCCAATTTTTCAAAGCGACCTCGCTATTGTTTTTTAATCTACGGTACCTCGACTTAAAGTGGACTCTTCCGGCTTTAATTTAAGCTAAGTTATACGAAAAAGATCCTACGGGAATGCAACTTAAAATCGACTCTAATTATCCCAATAAAAGCGAGACATTTGACCTCGACTTAAGGGTTGCGTTTCTCTAATTCTCCAAAGCGACCTCGCTATTATTTTTTAATCTACGATACCTCGTTTTAAAGTGGACTCTTCCGGCTTTAATTGAAGCTAAGCTGCATGAAGAAGGTCCTACGAGAATGCAACTTGACATCGACTCGAATTATCCTGATAAAGGCGAGGCATTTAACCTCGACTTAAGGGTTGCGTTCTTCCAATTTTTCAAAGCGATCTCGCTATTGTCTTTTAATCTACTATACCGCGTTTTAAAGTAGACTCTTCCAGCTTTAATTTAAGCTATGTTACATGAAAAAGGTCCTACGAGAATGCAACTTGAAAGCGACTCGAAGTTTGCCCGTTAAAACGACGGCATTTCTCTTCCCGTCGGGGATCAAGATTTTTCGATCTTTCGAAATGATCTCGCGATCCTTTTTAAACCTAAGCCACCCTATCTTAATAAAACGCGCGAGATTTACGGAGTTCTTGGCGCTGGATGACACTGATCTATACCGTTTAATATTGATACCGCGCAACGCGACTCCGGCTGACAAAATCTGGCTTCTTCCACTTTCATTATTAAATAGGAGCTTCGAATATGTGACGTGTCCGACCGTATCGATCCGGCTCAGGTAATTCTGGACACCGACGTGTATCGCGGTGCTGGAATACTTATGGCCCCGTAAATTTATTTCTACACGACTCGACGATACAACTATCGGACAACTAGTTAGTTTGCATCCCGTTTCGGACGTAACGAGATTGCTCATATCGAGATGGAAAATGTGGTCGAATAAATTGAATGTATCCGGCGTGTCCAATCATCCGTCTGTTTTATTTAGAGAAATCGCGCTCCGTTACTTATTATCCTACCGCGGTGAGTTCACGAAGTTGGAAGCCGAATCGAGGTAGCAGAGTTCGTTGAATTAAAACGATTAAAAGAATTTTACACAACGGCGATAAACAGCATTTGTTTCGCACAGAGAGATCTATTTATTCTCTGTTAATCTTATCACATTCGTTCATGTAATACAGTAATGTCTCTCTAATTGACGCCCAGATTGATCACAAAAGTGGACAATTTGGGAAGAGGAGATGCGTTTATTACATTAATATAGATTATATTATATTAATATAACTATAAAAACGAGTAGCGAGGCTCGAATTCGCAAGACTCCTCTTCCCAAATTGTCCATTTTAGTGGACAATCTGAGCGTCAGTAAGGGAGACATTACTGTATTATCAATATCGCGATACGAAAGTCCGCGATTTCGATGCGACTTCGATGCGTTTCTCCTCTCGTGATCGCGTTTAAACGCCGAGCGAAAATAAATCAATCGGAGGAACGGCACGCGGCGCGCGTCTGACCATCGGCGGCCCGCACCACTTGTAAATCGATGCTGCAGCCGGACGTAAACGCACAGGCAAATACGTAAATTTATATCCGACGCGGCGCAAAGTTTGCAGTCTGATCGAAACGATCCTGAAAATACTGTTGGGGGGGGGGGGGGGGGGGTAGCGTGGGGCAGAAGGGTGTCCAAAGCGTGCGAAAGCCCCGTTTCCCAGGGACGAGAATCAGCAGAATTCGCGAACTGCTGACCGACGCGGCGCGGGGGTGGTGCGGAGGGGTGCGGGGCGAGCCTGTATCCTGTTTCTCTGCGGTCTATCGCGGTTTTATCCGACACGGGGATCCAGTTCGCAGGCTCGCCGAACCCGGCGTGCCCTCCTCCTTCAGGGCCCGGCCAGGTTCTCGCCCTCCGAGACGATTATAGATCATAATTCGCCGGGCTAATTGACTAATATTCCCGGCCGCCGAGTATCCCGGGCGATAACGATCCCGAAACGATCATTATTATGGCTGTTTATTTGCATTATCGCGTTATTGCGCGTCCTCTCGAACGAGATACTTGATCCCCGGGTCCCGTTATAACCACGACGACCACTTTTCATCGTCCCGGCGCCACCCCGCCGCCCCGGCATTGTTTTAATTAAACTTCTGACGCTGGTTATTAGACTGCGAACCGCCAAAAATTGATTAAAGTTCGCCGTCGGCCGTTAACGGCGTTGCCGGGGAGAGAGAGAGGAAACGCTCCGCAACGTTTTCGGCTTCTACGCGCGCGCGTGCAATTAGACGTTAGAGGCTCACCTTGGCGCGCTTAGTGTACTTCAGGTACTGGTAATGATGATTGTCGTAGTTGAAGTCCCGCGGCGTCAGCGTGATGTCGCGGTTCCGCGTCATCTTGCCCAGCGATTTCTGCCGTTGCATCTGCATCTTCTTGCTGTGCGCTCGCAGATCCGCTCCTGCAACCATCCGGAACACGAATCGATTTATATTCGGTGAATATGAAATTTATATTCGATTTTAATTCAGACGTTGTCTTGGATCGGTTGTCCGGGATTTGTCTGATAAAATACGACCCGATTACTGCTTGAAAATTGCTTCTTTAACGTCCAGGCATTTTGCTTCGGAAAAAGGGTCGCGTTTCTTCGATATTTCAAAACGATACCCCGATTATTTTTCTAAACCTAAGGGACGTCGTTTTGAAGCGGACACTTTCGCCTTCGATTCGAGCTACTCGGCATTAAAAAAGTCCCACGGGAACGCAACGTAAAATCTACTTGAAAATTGCTTTTCTAACGTCCAGGCATTTTGCTTCGGAAGAAGGGTCGTGCGTTTCTTCGATATCTCAAAATTATACCGCGATTATTTCTAAACCTAAGCGACGTCTTTTTGAAGCGGACACTTTCGCCTTTGATTTAAGCTATGCGCCATTAAAAAAGTCTCACGGAAACGCAACCTACTATCATCTAAAAGTCACCCTTCAAAATCGAGGCATTCGTCATCGTGACAAAGTATCGGAGGTTTTTCGATTTTCCGCAATAATATGGCTATTATTTTCGCACCCAAGTTACCCCGTGTTAAAAAAAGAAGATTGCAAGGATCAAGGCGGCGAGACAGCTCGTTAACCGCGAATCAAGCAAACGAACCGTCCGTGAATTAATATTTGCCGATTCTTCGAGTCGACGCGATGAAATCCTTCGAGTGTTTATCCGAACGGTTAACGAGCTCGAAATTTCGACTGGCCAGGTGAAAAATCAACGGCTGATTCCAGCGTGTTTGACTTGCCTTCCGATCGTCGTCCTGTTGTTCGATTTGTTTCCGCCTCGTTCGCCGACAATCGGAACGAAAGGGTGGGGCGAAAAAATTGAATCGAAACGGTGAATTCGCCGTTCAAACGCGATTCTTCAAACGCGGTTCCCGATAATTCGAGCGGTTATTAGCCCCGAAAATTCGTCAGGCTATTTTTCGCGAGTTCTCGAACGCCGTGTGTAGAATCCCCGCTCCAAGGATCAACGATTGCCAAGAGCTTCGATCGTTTTGTCCGGGGCCGAAAACGGGCGCCGCCGCGGCAGGAGATCGCGGAACTCTGGGCGCCCGAACACCGGCATTATTGTTCCAACAGGCAATTATGAATATTCATGGTGCACGGCTCTCTGTCCCGTGGCCCGGGGAGGCGCAAACAGGACACCATTGTTAAACAGACTACACGTGGCCGCGTATGAATAAACTAACTAATGAATTTCGCGCGGTAAATCGGAGGATGCGCCGATAGAATTAACGACGGCCGGAAAAATTAGCCGGCTTCGTTTTCGCTTTTCCAGAGGGGAATCTCCTTTCAAAATACTCCAAACACTCTTCCACCTAATACACTTCCTTCGAAATTCTGGAACGAGGCGGTCTCTCAACGCGGTCGTCCGACTAAACGCAAGCTCGACTTTCCGCTCGACTTTCTTATGCAAAAGACCTCTTGCGCAGCCACGTTGATTAGCACTTCTTTGTCGTTACGAAGTTTCCACGCGAAATCTACATTTATTGCTCGGCCACGGCGATCGCAATTGCCGAATGTCGGTCGCGGATCTTTTTATGGATCCTCGAAGACGCCATTGATGCGCGAAGATCCGCGGTGTACCTTCGGCCGATCGAGAGCAAGCTTTGTTCATACTAGTCGCAGGAATTCCATGCATCGAGAATCGCGGACGCGCGTTGAGTTTGATTAACGTCCCCGGCGATATTACGGGATTAATTTCTCTGGCGCGGTAGCATGAAACAGACGATCTATTAGTAAGAAAGAAGGCTGGCCGGATAGAGTCGATAAATTATCGACAGCCGTACCCGCGATACGTTTCATCGACGAAAGAAACATATTGATAAGCTTTCGCTCGAGCCATTTCTTCGGGGGGAGGCCGGGGGGAGGAGGAGCGAAGAACATGGATGTAGGCCAGGCAAACTTGATTTATTATCCGGGAAGCCGGTTTGATTTATCACCGACAGCTTTTGAGACCCGAATTAATGGCTCCCCGGCCGGGCTAGTCTCCTTCGTATCCCGGATTCACGTGAAAACCATCGACACCGAAACAAACGTACGTCCCGGGATTCTCCGCCCGTCGTTTGTCCGACACCTTTTTTTCCTATGCTTTCGTCGGACAACGATCTACTCTCTCTCTCTCTCTTTTTCTTTCTATATTTTATATACGTATATTCTCCGCCACCGTTCCGCGACGTCGACCTTTAATTACGCGGACGAATCTTCGATTTCGATCAATGGCAGACCTCTTCCGCCATTTTTCACCCGGAGTTCAACCGTTAAGTGGCGGAACATGTCGTTCGATCGGACGAGGAGAAAGACGACGGCTCGGATCGGATGAGAAATAGTTTTTCGGAAATAGTTTCTCGACTTTCCTGAATTTCTGGGAGCATTTCGTTCCGGTACGGTCTTTCCGGGAGATTGCCGATCCTTCGAATTACCAACGATTACATTGAATTCTGATCGAAGAGGGAAATCATTGTCGCGAAACGGTTCGTCTCGATAATACCGCGTTCGAAGTAGCAAGCGAATGCGTGTCGGACGAAAAGGTTAACTGGAAGCTGCTATTATCGCGTCGGATCGAGATAAGTGTGTCTTACAGCAGAGTTTTTCGAATTTAACACAATCTAAGACTCGAGTACTAAGCTCTTGAGATGCCATTTTCTTCGCAGTTACTGCGATTCGTGATCTTTCGATTGCAATAATTTCTTAGAAGGGAAAGAGAATCGATGCTCATCGCGTGCCTAAATTTGCTCGAATGCTTAAATATCGATGACAAGACTTTTATTCCAATTTTAACGCACGGAACAACGTCTATACTCGATAAGATATTACTAGAAATTTAATCTTGGACAGTCGGATTCGTCGAACTACGACAAAGGGTTAAGGAACAAGTAGCAGAACCGAGTAGAACTGCAGCAAACTGCGCTCAATCGCCAGCAAAGCACACGAAATCGACGTTAAAAATACTTTAGCATAGAGCAGAATATTTCGAAACAGAAAAAACAATGAATATTTCTAGCAGTTAGTTCTTTTGCACTTTACGCGATAACCGAGCTCGAACAGAGACAAGACGTTCAAGGCAGATCCTTTAAACCGTAACAGGAAGATCGAATGTCGGGAAACGTATCGAGTTTAGGGGGTTAATAAGGGTGCAAGGGGCGGAAGGGTAGCTTGTAGGTGGAATCGAGAAACTCGATGAAACTGTTTCGAAACGAAGAAACTCGATGATGGTTACCTTTGCAGGGGCAGAATCCCTTGCAGGCGATGCGAACCGACGTATGGTGGATGCAATTGTGGTAGTCGAGCCGGCACGGCGAGCTGTACGTGCGATTATCGCTTCCGCATAGGAACGTCGGCTTCACCACAGGACATTCTTGACATCTGGAACAAAAGGGAAGACACGCGTCGTTACACGAAGCCGTTCCAGCCTGCACTGTGTTTTGATATCGCCCCGCGTCTCTTCACCCACCCTGCCGACCCCCGGGGTAAACACGGTATACCTTCGAGACAGAGACCGTTGCCATAATCGCGTATGACCGAGCGCCCTATTGTTATTTCACTCGTCGGCACGCTGTTTATATCGACGTCGTAAAATCCCCGAATGCATACAAAATCGTGGCCCATTGATCGACACGTATTTACCACGCATTTACTACGCGCCGAACGCGGTGCGATTTTTTGCTAATCGGCGATATTGTTGCGACTCGATGGAACGCCGGTTGTGCTTTTGGCTAACCCTTTCCACTGGGGTTCGTGTATTCCCGGAATTTTCGGGAACGTATCGCGAGAGATTGCGCGCGCTCTCGCCCTTTCTCTCGCTCTTTCTCGCTCTCACTCTGCTCGCTCTCTCTCTCTGCTCGTTCTCTCTTTCTCTCTCTCTCTGCTCGTTCTCTCTTTCTCTCTCTCTGCTCTCTCTCGCTCTGCTCTCTCTCTCTCTCTCTCGCTCTGCTCTCTCTCTCTACTCGCTCTCGCTCTGTTCGCGCTCTCTCTCGCGCGCGCTCTCTCTCGTATTTATTCGAGCCGGCGAGAAGCATTTTTGCCCGACCAGTTTATTATTCTCGGGGCCGCGTTACATTATCCACTCCGGGCGTACTGTTTTATCGCGTGCACACAGCGCGCGCATGCATGCATGCACACACAGGCGCAGCCCGTCCGGTTTCTAAATTCGCCGGTGTTTCCCGGTGAAAAATTTCGGAATTCCCGTAACGCACGGCTTCATAACCGTTAAGCACTGCATCGTCGTAACGGAGAATTGCAAGGGGCCGTCGCGGCAACGTTCGCAACGCGCGTTCCGCGCGGGGTCCGGAGGACGTGTCTCGCCGACTTAAGCGCCGCCGTAAAGCGGCCGCCAAGCTGCCCCGTTAATTGCAATTTCGTGAAATTCTAAGAGACCTTGATGTAACCGGATCTTGTTCTTAGGGTTCCTCTCGTTTTATCGGACGCGCCGATCGGGCCAATTTCGGCCGACGAACGCGTCGGACGCGTATGTACGTCGGGGCGCCGGGTTTTATCGGCCGTCGGAATTGCTCGACAGAATAATCGAATCCGCGCGCGAATTAATTCATTTCCGAGCGTCGAGATTACGTAGCCAATCGACTCCGATGGTATCGACACGCCGGCCGAATAATTGATAGTTAATAATTCGAGCCGGCCGGTTCGTTTCGGACGAATTGCACCGGGGAACCTGTGAAATTGCTCGTCGACAGGGGTGTCAAACGCGAGCAACGCGGGAAAAGCTAGGAAAAAAAGGACCGTATCATTGTAAACATCGATCGGCATCATTGCATCCGATTAATGCTAACCGAATGCACGCGAATCGTTCGTTTCTGACGGTCCAGCTTCGCGAGATCGCCGCGACTTCGATATAAAACAGCTTATAAGAGAAAAACCATAACTCTGTCGTTTTTTAAGACATCTCGGTCGAAAAATTTGCTACGCGTAGCGCGACGCGTGCACCTTCGATCCGGTATAGTCGTTTAATGAAAAACTTCAGCGATTTGGTCCGAGAAAAATTCGTAAGAGTCGCTTTTTCTTTCACGAAAACGAGAAGAAAATGATGTAAGATTCAGCGAGCGACATGTAACTCGCTCGGAGGCTCCGGGACGATTTAAAAAGAACATTAGCACGAAAACGGTTAATTATGCGAACAGTCGGGAAGGCGCGTCCTCGTTAATAAAGAAGCCTGCATAGCGTTCTCCGCAGTATAATCCCGATTCGGCCGCAGCGCCGGCGTCGAGTCGGTAGCTTGCGCTTCGAGAATTTGTGGTCGTCGGCGAACGTGTAATTAGTTTAAACCGAGTAACGCGGTAATTAAGCTAGTTCAAACTCCTTTATCAAGACGCAGAGAGGAGAGGCTGGCTGGCCGCGCTCGCGCCCGGCGTTTCGAGGCCGCGTTTTCTCTTCCGCGACATCGGGCAGACGCGTTCCGGCTTGCGATAAATCGGCTCGAGATCGCGACGAAGCTCGATGGATCGCGACGAAGCTCGACGGATCGAGCGGATATAGAGAGGCGTTTCACCAGCCGCGAACAGCGAGATTTCCTCGCAGATTTTCGCGGAGGCTCGAGTTTCATCCCCGTGGAAGCGCGGCAGCAAGGCGAAAGAGGTTGTGAAAGGGGCTGAAACGGGTTGAAAGGGGTTGAAAGGGGGCGACAGAGGGTGTAACGCGAGAAACGGGAGGGCGTGGTTGATAATGTACGTGCCAATCCGCCTTTAATCTCGCTCTTTTTATATCGGCCCATCTGCCCGTGGCCCGTGAGAAGCTTCAAACTTTGGCCAGGTGTTATCGCCCGTTCGGAGAAGAAGAGAGAAAGAGAGAGAGAGAGAGAGAGAGAGAGAGAGAGAGGGAGAGAGAGGGAGAGAGAGGAAAACAGAAAAGAAAGTTTTCGACCCTCGCGGACCTCCGTCGAACCTTCCTCCGCAACCCCTATCAATTCCGCCGCGTTTATTGGCCTTCCCTTTTATCTTTTACTTAAAACGATCCCTTTCGACGTTCCGTATTCGTTTCGACTAATTCCCCGCTCTTTCCCACGAGCCGCTTCCTCTCAAAGAACGCTTTTCGATTCGAAATTCACGGTCCATCGCAGTTTCCACGCGTCTTCCCCTTTCCTGGACTTCCAGTTTCCTCGTTCGCGGATTCGCGGTTCGATCCATCCGAGACGTCGCGGTCTTCGCGAATATTTGCCCTCGAACGGCGGTCGCATTTATTTACCGTGCTCTAATTGAAAATATTAATCCTTTGCACTCGCGCTGTGACTCCGAGGCACCGCTAAAATTTGTTATGTCACGTTCTAAGGTAATTTTTATATTAACAAAGTTTAGATTTAAAAAACTGTTGTGCGAGCTACAAAACTCATGCATAAAATACATTTTGCCGTGTAAAATGAAAATGCTATAAGTCAGAAATATTATTTTACATTTACAGATAAAATAGCTTCGAGCGCGAAGGGTTGAAATGCTTGCACCGCTGCATGTACACGTCGTGTCGCCATTTTTATTAGAACGCGCGCTCGGATCTTCTACGAGAAAGTCTTTGCGATTCCGGCAACTTTGAAACGGAGAATTCGGAATCGGTCGTTTTAGGTTCGGTTAGGTTCAGCGTTCAAAATTCTTCCGACGTATTCGCTGTTTAATATTCTGATATAATTCTGATCGGGCAACGAAATCAATCGATCGCGCCGCTAATGAAATTGCGGAGACGCCCACGATCCGGGGTTGCGGCCCCGATTTTTTCGAATCGGACGGCTCTATTTTTCGACTCTTGCTTCTTTTATTCGGCCGGTTCGACGTGGAACCGGTAGAACTTTTGATTTACGGGGGCGCGCGGCCCGATGGAATTCCATGAATGCGAAATGCAATCCCCGCCGCCCTGCCACTTTGCTCGTCCTCCCCTTCGGGCCAGCCTCTTCCTCCATCCTCCTCCGCCGCCCCCGTATTTCCGGTAACTCGCGGAAACTTCGGTTTTCAATCGACCCACGCTCCACGGCAACAAACAACACACGTCCCACCTGCTTATGGAGAAATACGAGTCTCCGTTACACGGTCGCCGTTCGATAACATTAGCTCGGCTTCTCTTCTCCTCTCCATTCCTCTCCGTGTGCACGGGCGCGTGCTCCAAGGGCTGTTTTACGAGGACATTTATCCTTGTTTGATAAGAGGACGTCCGGCGGGGACCGCGATCAATTAAAAGATTCTGGCCGTTCTCTTCTGTTTGCCGACGATTCAGACGTCTGCGACGACGCGACGGATAGCTGGACGTCGATTGAACGAGCTCGTCGAGAAATCGTTGTCGATAAAAATGTTGTAACACGAGGCTCGCACGAGGCTTGCACGTGGCTTGCACGAGGCTCGCACGAGGCTCGCACGAGGCTGCTCGTGGATAGAGCTGCCGTAGCGAAAGGGTTAATGTACGATCGGAAATAATGATAAGACAGCTATCGGCTCGTCGACGAGCATAAACGGACCTTTGGGCGTAAAATTATCGAGCAACGGTCGATCGATGAACAAAAGCTCGAAGTCGAATGGAAGGACCCGTTTCGTATCGGTTCGAAATAAATTTTTACGAGCTCGGCCGCGTGGGCGGAGCGCCGCCTCGATAAGGTATAAACGTAAACGGTACACAAAGGTGGCCGTTTTGCGGACGAACGAACTCCGCGGAACGGTGTTTCCGGTGCGTTTAGTGCCGGCCAAGCGGAATACGAATGCCAGCGAAATAACCAATGTAGTCTCGCCATTGTTGCCCCTCCACCGGCCGTTGCGATTTTATAACCGTCCAATGCATATTAAAGCGGGAAATTACCCGGAACCGGGGGAAAATAATAAGAGTAAAAACCGGCGGGAAAGTAATGGAGAACGTCTCGCGTCGTTTCATCGCCGTTTCCGCCGGCATATTTAATTCGGCCGCGATCGGGGGCCGCCGGAGAAACGTCCCCGCGGACCGGAAACCGCGGGTTTCGTTTTCACGAGGCCCGCATTGTGTTCCGAGAAGCGTAGAGCTTCGAGAAATTGAAGAGCGACCGAGAAACCTCGCGGTCAGGGGTTTTCGGATTTTACGGGGAATTTTATCGATTCGCGGACCATCCCGACGAAATTCTCCATTTCTCGGGGGCCGAGTGTTTCTATATTCCATCGATTCCCCCGTAAATCGCAGCCATAAAAATTCGAAACGACGCTTCGGACGTCCCCGGGCGCGTACGCGAAGGCTTCGAACGTGTGTGCGGCTTGTGTTCGTCGCGTGAAAAATTCGCGAATCGGTTTTCGCCGGCTCGGAAATTGATTACGCAGCGAGCTAATTTTGAAAATGTATATGCGGGATCATTTTTGCCGACGCGGAGAACGCAGGAAGCCAACGAACTCGGATTCCCGGGCAGACGCGAAGATTCC